GAGCATCTGGCCGGAGCAGCATGCCAGCCGAAGGTACCCTCGTCCCCCGGCAGATGTCAGGAGAGTCGGATGGGCCTCCCGCCAGGTTGCGCAAGCGCCTCCGCGACTGACTCATCAGGCAGTTGGTGGTGTGAAGCGCACCTGGCACCCGATTCGTGACTGGTCTCGGGAATTGTGGGGGAATCGGCGTTTTTGTGATCGCGTGACTCTCGCTTTGCGAACTCTCCGGCTCCGGTTTTGAGGAGCTTTTTCGGGGCTTTTTGCCGACGCGTTCCGCGTGAATTTCGCCAGGCCGCATCGGCCCTCTTATCAGACGTCCGTCCATCAGAAGGATTTCATCATGGTCGTGAGTTCTCGCTTCTTCTCCCAGATGTTTACTGTTAACGTAAACGCAGCCCTCGGAGAGCAGTCCAAACATTCTTTTTAAATGAATAATGTTTTCTTTTGCAGGCTGGGTACTCAGAGGATCAGCTTGCTGGTGAGTTCAGGTTCATTTGTCATCTTTAATTCGGCCTTAAAATTCATTCGCGTGGTGGAAGTGTAAAAATGGAAAAGTTTTCATTAATTTCCGACAAAACTTTTGAACTTTAATCTAGGCCTATTCCAACTTCCAAACCATCCAAACTTGACTGCATATTGGTCAAGGAACTGTTGCAGCCCTGAATTCAGTTTTTGCAGTGGCTTTTTTCCTCTTGATTTCAACATGACCAATGTTGGCAGAAAGAATCTTTTGTGGACCTGCCCTTTAAGGTGTTATATTCCTGAGCATATTTTTGCCATAAGAACAGTGAAACTGAGTAGTACCATTTCACCTGGAAGGAAAAAATGCATCTCAAAGTCATTAACTCACATGAAAACAGGACACAGCCTGTGTTTACATGATCATGGAATTCAGTGAAAGCTATGAAAGCATGTGCAAATTAATGGAACTTCATCTTGCTTTCAGAAAACCTCAATTTTGTTTTTACACCTGTGACTATTGTCAAGGCCTACATTTGCACAGTATACACCTTCATAGTTGTAGAGTTTCCTAAGGGTTTTGTTTTTCATTAACCACAAAAAAGAATGCTACTAATTATATTGAAAAAGTTGAGTGAGTTTTTTCTGACATGCATGCTATCTTGCAGTAAAAAATTCAGATTTAAAAGTGGTAAAAGCTTGGATTTGAATCTGTGTTGATATTCATCATGAACTCTGCTCAGGAGTGCTGGGAATCGTGGTCGTTTCTCTTTACTTGAATTCATATGTAGACTTTCAGGAAGCGTTCCAGCTGTTTGACAACCGAGGCGATGGGAAGATCTTCGTGAGCCAAGTCGGGGACGTCCTGCGGGCTCTCGGACAGAACCCGACGGAATCGGAAGTGAAGAAGTTGACCAATCAACATCGACAGGGTGAGGGTCATGGCGGCTGGTGTCTTTTTTTGTGGAAAACATGGGTTTAACACCTGCCAAACTCTCTGCGTTTCAGACGATAGGATCATGTTCGACGTGTTCCTCCCGATTCTTCAGACCATCAGCAAGAACAGGAGCAACGAGAAGGCCGAGGACTTCATCGAGGGCCTGCGCCACTTCGACAAGGACGGCAACGGATTCATCTCGTCGGCCGAACTCCGACATCTTCTCACCACGCTCGGTCCGTTGAGCCGGTCTTGCATCTTTTTTTTTCAACGAGACTGTTTTAATTCCAAGAGTGATGCAACTAAACACACTTTTGTCACTTTCCAGGGGAGAAGCTGACAGACGAGGAAGTGGAGCAGCTGTTGGCCGGCCACGAGGACAGTCAGGGCAACGTCAACTACGAAGATTTCGTGCGTCACATCATGAGCGGATGAAGTCCTTCGTCGTGGCCATCCTCCTTCCATTCCTTACATATTATATATCCTATTCGGCTTCCCTCTCTATTTTATACGAATGTCTGCTGATCATGCGTTGTAGTCCCACTAATCCAAATCTTGGATCGGCACAAAGATGTCTTTGAGGAGCGAAGTGCAAGAGATCCTCCCCCCTTAATATTGGTCAATGCACATCATTTTGCATTTCTGCTTCATGTGTTTGCCTTCCCTTTTTAGAGCTACATGAACAGTATTGTCTTTTCCAATGCCCTAGAAAATATTGCCAAAAAGAATCACTAAGAGCTTTTGAGCTGAACTCTATTTTAATGGAACATATTCAGGTACTTATTTGAGCATGGATTGAAATCTATTCAAGTTTTAAAGTTATTAGATGACTTCCTGCTGGAAATGATTTTCTAAAGTAAAGGGGATGATTGCATTCATACCAGTTGTATGTTTTTCTTCAGTGATGTTGAACATAGGTGAAAATTTTACAGCATGACATGAAAACAAGCCATGCCAGCTCTACCAGTTTGACTGAGGCTTAGTTGCCCAATGAGGTCATTACATGCCATTGTTTTGAGTGTCAGTGGTGTTTGCAATAATGAGAGATTCCTGCAAAGCAGATTTCTCTGATCTGCTTTTTCACTTGTGATTTCCTTCCTCCAATGGCCATCTTCATTGATCATGAATCTTCATTGAAATTGGCAGTATCTGGTTTGTCTTGGAACATGCAGATAATTTCTTATCTCATGATGCAAGAGACAAGGGGAAGGAAGCTACAAAGTTCCCATTGCCACACCAACTCGCACAAAACTACTTGATTCCATGTCAGTGAGAAACGATGCAGTGGTGCCACACTTACTGATATTAATTGCATCACCCTACCAGCTAGCTTAAAATTACATCTAATTTTCACTCACACCATTAAAGGTTCTAGTATCCAACTTCATTACACCTCAACATCTCCATGTTGGTTTTTTTTTTTGGGCAGGGGGGGTGGGGGCAAGGGGAATAAATTATCCAACAAGAGGTTCTTTGTAAAATCTTGAGAGGCCTTTTCCCCCCTTCAAGCGACGTCAATTGGTGCCTGTCATCCCACTGAAAGCAAGTATCCATGTATCTCTTTGAGTTAACTGCTTCCCATTTATATCATGGCTATGTAAGCGATCCAAGCGAAAGAGACCCCTCCTGGTGCATCGTCCTGGGTAAATGATGCATCCATAATTGCCCCCAGAAGGAGAAAGGCCCCTCAATGCCTTCCCCACGAAAAAGGCGCATCATGAATGAATCCCCCCCTCCGCCATCCATCAAAAGAATTTCATCTTCCCCATACAACCACGCGATATAAAAACACGTGCACCCCAGGTGCATCCCCCCCGATTGAACCTCCCCACGATCGAATGGAGACACCACCGCGCATGCGCACGAACGCGACCCCTCATCCTCCATCTCCCCGCCTGCGCGCGCCAGCGTTCGATTCCAGTTGTGATTCGACGGGGGAAGGCTCGAGGCTGCTCGACTCAAACGAGGTGAAATTTCACATTTCCCTTAGAGATCGTGACGCGTTTATTGCTCCTAATATATATATAAAGCGGCGTTATGCATAAATATATTTATTATGTTTATCTTCTGCTATTGTGGGTGTTGCCATGGCACGGCGCGACCTCGATATCGATGCCGTGTTTGATCCGGCCGATTATCGTGGCCCACACAAAATTTTTCTGTGCACATTTTGAATATATTAGCAGGCTTAAAATTCGCAAATGCCGAAATGCGTCCTCGAGCGCCCAGGTTTTGCTGCTTGGAGTTGCAAGTTTTCACCGGGTTTTCGATGACGCACTTCTCAAAAACCCGGGAAACCGCAAAGCGCATAAAAAGCAGTGAATCGACAAAAAAAAGGGATTTTCTACCCAATGCCCAACGCACGCGAGAGACAGTTCAATTCCTGATTATCGAACCGGTTTTCGTGCGCAATCACCAAACCTCGAGAGATTCCCTCGCGAAGGTCGGCAGGGGAACGATATGACGACGCCGATGGCATTCAGTCCCCCGAGCGAAGATTATCCCCGATGATGCGGATAATTCCCCGATTATATAATGATAAATGACGCGCGCCTCGACGGCGAGGCCGGAAGGAGAAAAAAATCGGGAGGGAAACGGGTTTTTGCCCGCCAGATGCAGCACGGGAGCAGACGACGGCCGTGACGTCACGTGACACCTATGCAACATGGCAGACAACATGGCGCGAGACTAGTTCAACCCTAACCTAATTCTCCGTCTGTCTCCAACCAGCTTTAATTCAGGTAAATTGCGTTGTTTTTGACTCGGAGGCTTAGAATCTGGGGTTTATTGCCGTGGATAAACACGGTTTCGGGTGCTTTTGTGTCACGATGCAGCCGGAAATCGTTTTTTGCTTAGGCCTATAGCGTCCTTGAAGGAATTGCTTCCGCATCTGGTGTCCTTGCGCTTGGCATTTGATTTTTCCTCCTCTGTCGAGCGTTATGCTGAAAGTTATGGGCCTGGAATAGATTGGGTGTTTGGCAGTGTGAAGGTTAGGCACGAGTAGAGGTTCTAGCTAATCTCTTGTGGTCTTTCATTGCAGTGGTTGACAGCGGAATGAGTGAATCAAGTGGGGGAGAGGATGCAGGGGAACGTGTCAGACGTCATGAGTCATAATTTCCATCACCCTCACCATGGCCACCCGCACAACCATGGTCACATCCATGGACACGGTCACAACCACGGCCATGGTTTAACTCACGGTGTGATAACTTGCCCCGCCCCACCCCGACACCTTGCCCCTCATGACCCCTCTCTCCCTCATTCCCATTCTCACGCGTACTTCCACCCGCCCCCCTTCTACGAACACCAACACCACTCGTTCAACCCGCCCCCCAACGCAAACCCGGTCGGGATCAACAGCTATCCGTGTTACCCGAGTGGAGAGGCCCTGCCCGTGTTCCCTCCCCCGGGGAAGATCCCCCATCCGTATCCATGCCTTCCCCCCTCCGCTCCCCATCCTCCTTCGCACGTGCACCCCGATCACCGGCAGATGTTCGTGCCGTGGCACCAGCCCCACCCCGACTTGCAGTCCCACGCCCAGAGCCAGGGTCAAGTTCAAGTGCAAGTCCAAGCTCAGCCTCCAGCCGGCTTGGAGGCTCCGGCTCCCGACGACTGGAGGAGGAGGCGGAGCGTCCACTACAAGTATCCCTCGAATCCTCTGCGGGTCGCATTCGTTCCCCGGGGGTGGAAGCGTGAGATCGTCAACCAATCTGTGATCTACATCACGTGAGTCGCCCGTCCGATCGTGCGGTTCCGAGGTTCTTCGTTGGGATTCGTCGATGCTTAAGAGTGACTCTCTTTTGTAGACCCAGCCAGGTGGAACTATGTTCCATGGAGGAAGTGTGTTCCTATCTGCTAAGTGCAGGCACTTGCAAGTGTGGTCTTCACTGTCCTCTCAATGTCCCTCAAGTCTTCTGCTTTGACCCTCAGGTGAATATTCACATTCATACAAAATGAAGTTAAATGTTTCAGGGTTTTTAGTTTCCAAGTTCACAGTTTACGTTTTAACTGAAGTTTGGTTTCATGTTGAAAGAGCATTTTCATCCAGGAGAAAATTTCTGGAACATGGACATATTGCAATCAGGTCACATAAAGGAGGCAGTTACGCCACAGTGGCATACCAGGATTGCTATTGCTTGCTTGTGCTCACTTAGTGAAAAGATGGCATGTGATGTGCAGCTATACACATGGGTGAAGAATCATGATTTGGCCTTCTTTTCAACAATGTATGAAGGTTAACTAGTATAAAAGAGCATGCATTTTGCAGTAATGTATTTAATACTATAGATAATTCTTAGGTTTTTTTCAATTTTTTGGTAAATAGGGAAAAATGGTACCTAGCTGGAAAACAATACTGAAAATGTTTCATGTAATGCACTAAAACTGGTAACAGAATGTAATGGTCTGGGAAGGAAAGTAGAAAACCAAATCTTGGTTTAATTCACTCTGATAATAGCTAATAATAATTAGTAATCATTTTTATAAAGCTAATTATTGATTGTCCTATTTTCTCTTGAGTACAGTGATCAGCATATTCTAATTTTTTAATGCATTAAGAATGTGTATATCACAGGATACCTTTTAAAAACATTTTATAGTCAAGATGCTTGATCTTTTTTGCCTCTTCATTTCCATTTTCTATCGCAGTACACCTTTGTGCTGTTATGCACTTAGATCCATGAAACCCTGTATTGAAGCGTTTTCTCTTGACAATTGAAAAATGCATCGCAGGTCCCGTCTTGTGGCATGGGTTCGGAGCCAAATACTCCAGTGAGCGTCTGTGGGGTCCATTCGCAGTCCCAGTTTCCCGCTTCCATCCCTCCCCCCATCGACACCAGCAGCCCTCGAACACGTACGTCTCGATTTCTCTCGCCTGTTGATCCGATTTGTTCCGTGTGTTTGACATGACTTTTTCTTGATGGTCTCTACAGATGATGAAGGAGGAGTTCGAGTCTCAACCAACATGGTAAGTGTGGTTGCCTCTGAAGTCACTTTCATCCTTGCACTTGCGAGTTTTGGTAAATATTGTTTATTAGAAAGGAAGACAATCCTGTTGCTGCCTCTTAATTGGTTTGTGATTCCGAAATATGGCAGCTGTTGTTGACTTTTTTCTTGTTTTCTATCCTTGTTTTTCACACTTGTAAATTTATGGAATCTTGGGTAAAAACAAAAAGCATCACTTCTTTCCAGCTGATTTACAGACACTGAATGAGTTTCTCAACAGCATGAGGTCCTTGGCTGGTTAGCATCAGAATCTGTGCATGTTAAGATCTGTCTATCAGTAACTGCTTTTTAAATTTTTTATTTGCTTTTGGAAAGGAATCAGGATAAAATGCATGCAGTAACGCGTGAAATAGCTCAGATCAACTCATGCTTGTATTTTAAAGTGGCTTGTCTACTTTGAAACATAAGCATGAGTTGATCTGATACTGTTTCAGTCTTACACTGAAGGGAGGATAAGGGATCACATATGGGGAAGTCAAATTTAAGTAAGAGTGTAACTTATGAGAAATTCCTGAAAAATTTTTTTGAGCAACCTTCAAATCCCCATAATTAGTGTCTCTTTTCCCCTTATGAAGTGTATTGCCATGTATTGTGGGCAGACTTTCAACTGAAAAAGTAAGTTGTAATTGCAATCATGAAATGATTTATTCAATTTGCTCTCACTCACTAATGAAAAGGTTCTTTTTAAAATACAAAATAAAGTGTTTTTAGGGATGGAAAGAAAGCCTTTTTCATCTTCTTTTTGTGTAATTCCTGAGGGAAACTCCTATTCATTTCATTATTAAAGTAAGCTGATGAAACTAATCCATTCAATGGCAATTAATAGTCAGCCCTTTTTCCACATAAAATTCATTTGACTGCTAACAATGACAACCTACTGTTAGGTAGGTTCCATTTTACATTCCAATGAGGAAAGACATCAATTTCAATCATAACCCAATTTGCAGTGCAGTCAAATTTAATGATAGTGCATGTCAGGTAATTTCAGAGTACTTTTCAAAGTCAGTGTGCTATTCTTTCAATATTTTCAGTTTGTTCATGACATTGTAGGCACATGTCTGATTCACGTGTACAGAAACTGTTTACTCCCTGAATGCAAATTATAAAGAACTATTCCTATCTCTTGGTTGTATGCTTATGACTCAGAGATACCATATCTGTCGTGGACCTTACTCATCCCTGCAGCATATCATTTGGAGATGTTTCATGGATTCATTATTCAATGGCTCTCCTACAGATATGACTGCTCTTGGAACTGTGCTGATATGAAATAGTACACAGTACTTCATTCTAGAAGTGCATGAGATGAACTCCTCTTAGCGAAAGAAATCTTTTTCATTTGTAAAGAATTTGGATCAGTGTTAATGGAAATAAGTACTGCAAGCAAAATTTGTCATTCCATAGACTTTCAATGGACCTTCCATGGATTTGCAACTTGTCTGACTCTTTGGGAGACAATGACCCTCTAAGCCAATAGGTCTGTGAATATTTCCTGCTTATTCACCTTTGAATACTGTTCTTTCAGGAAGGAGGAGATAATCTGATGAAGTCAGACAGCCGAGTGGGAGGGCAGGAATCTCCCTACCCATGGAAGGGGAAGAAAGGAGTGAAGGATGTTGGAAGTCCCCCGACGTTCCTCGACGATCCCTCGGCCTACCTCGCCCAACAGGCGGCCATCCTCAACGAGACCCTGAAGCCGGGGACAGACACGAGTTCCAGCTCCCTCAGCGAGTTCTCGCCGTCGACGTCGGAGATGAACACCAGCGTGGAATCCGAAGACAGCCAGGTGGTTCACACGACCACACGTGAGGACGGCAGTGGGGCCCGCAGTGCAAGCATCGGGGAACCCCCACCCAAAAAGAAACATAAGAAGAAGGATCGTAAGGTGGAAGGAAGTGTTCAGAGCCCCACCATTTCTGCCACGTGTCAGCTCGGACCTGACGATAACATGAATCATGGCCAGAGTACTCGAATGGCCGCTCCCATCACTGCTTCAACTGCGATCTCCATAGTAACACAGCAGCCTCCTACGATCGGAATGCCCCTTCTACAAGTCTTATCTCCGACAACTGCCACGGGTTTCCTTTCCTCCCCCGGCGGGACGGGAACTCCGACTGGAATCATCTGTCTTGGCACAGGACCAGGAGGAACTCAATTGACCAATCAGCTGACCATTCCGATGCAGTTCGGCCTGGGTCCCATCTCCGGTCCGGGATTCGTGGGACCCGGTCCCGGAAAGCGGAAATCCCGCCGTAAGAGATCCCAGGCCCAGACGGTGGCTTCCATGTTGCAGAGTACGTCTCAAAGCCACCAGCATCAATTGGGTGTGAATTTTGGAGGGATGGGGACGGGTTTCATCGTGCCATCGACGGCCCTCCTTCCGACCTTCGGCTCCATGTTGGGTGCTGCAGCAGTCATCATTCCCAGCAGTACCGCTAACACGGGAACCGGAAAGCTCGGGGGAGGGATCGGGACGAGCGTCGGGCCGCGGTTGCTGGGGCCCGGGAACGTGGTGGTGGGATCCGCAGCCGATTGGGGGTCCGCATTTGGCGGCGCCCAACTGGTGACCAACACCACGACCACTGTGTTTCTTCCCAGCATCCCCATCTTGCCAAATGGGACAATCCTCACCACTGGGGATATGGGGGCAGCCATTATGAACAAACCCATCTTGAGCCCCATGCCTAGTCAACTCAACAAACTTCAGCCACTTCTGCCACCCACGAGTCAGTCTTGCTTCCTTTTTACATCGTTTCCCTGAAAATGTGTTTTCTAGATGCCTATGCCTGTTTGAATGAAACTTTATTTGTAGATATGTGAGAGTACTGCTGGTTAAGGTGTTCATTTTTACTACATCTCAAAAACCAACTTGACATGCTTTTGGTATTTGAAAAGTTTCATCTATAAAGAATTTTGTTCATAAAATATACCTTCAATTTAAAAGTTCTTCTAATTTGGTATTGGTATGGGCTTTGGCAGGCTTGTTCCAAATAGGCCCATTTGAAGCTTGACTTATTTGTTGATTCGTTCCAGGTCGAAGTGGACAGTGAGAAAGAAAAAAATGTATCACCAGAAAGAAGAGAGAGGAGAGTGCAAGAAAAGAAGAAGACAGCCATATCCCAGTTACAGAGAGAAGAGAGAGAGTCCTTTTTCTTCTTTTAATTATCCATCCGTCCAAATTATCCACATAGAGAGTCTTATCGGATCGTTAGTTGGACGTACGACCCCCCGCGTCGCTCGTTTCTCTTCCTCTCGCCTGTCTAGTCTAGAAACTGACTACTGTATTCATTATACCCCATCGGCGTTTTCTCTTTTTCTAGTGCCTTACGTGATGATGACCGGAACCAAAAAGGAAAATGTGTGGAAACTAGGAAAGAAATTTGTTCTTGAGAGTTGATGTTAGATGACAAAACTCCCCCGGTGCAAAGATTTTAAGAATTTTCATAAGACTGGTCTTTCTGTGGTTTTTCCCAAGTTTTCCCCCCCTGAACTAGGTGACACAGGGTACTTTTTTTTCTTTATTCTAAAGTGTTTGAGAGCTCACTCATACTCTGGAATCTTTTTTTTTTTTTTTATTCCCAGTGAAAAGGGAGAAAAAGAATTATTCATTTCTTCTCTGGATGTGAAAGTAGTGGAATGATTGATGAATTGATCCTGGATGATTGATTGAATCTGTCTCAGACTGACTCATGAAATGAATTTTTTTCCCCCTGTGAACTGTTATTGCTTTATTTTAAATGAGTATTCCTTTGAATTACCTTGCAGAAGAGGGTTTTCTTCGAGCATGGGACCGAAGGAAGACTTTCGATATACCGCCACTGTTGGTCTCAGCCGATTTTGGCGCTAAGTCGAAATGGATGACTTTGGAGGGAAAAAAAAAAATCATAAATGATAAAATATGCACTGGTTTTCACTTTGATCAACGCAGGATTTACTAACTTTACAGCTTTGAAAGTAATTCAGTCTCTTTCATGCATGATCTATGTCCAATCATTTCTCATTTTAGTGAATATAACTCCTATGCACAGTCTGTTCACGTTATTGCTCCAAAACGCAGGAAAATTGTTCACGAAGTTTTTTTCTGAGGTTCCCCTCCTTCGGCACACTTCCAATTTTCCCTTCACATTTTCCATTCTTCTCCCCCTCACTGAATAACGAATAAACGGGAACTGTCGGCTGGAGAAGCTGCGTACAGTCTGAACGAGACATTTCAATTCCCCAAACGAAGAGAGGGTATTCGGCGACGCTATCGCTCTAACGCTAAGATGTCCATCGCGAGATCAGCTGGCAGCCTTACATTTTAAACGGTGCAGTCATTGTGGCAGGCTATGTCGAGGGCCATTGTCGGAAAGCAGATAACTTTCTTCGTCGTGTTAGAATTTTTTTAAACAATTTAAGCCGAGCATTGATTTAGGCATCGCCCTATCAAGCTAGGCATTTTTGACGAGACACGAAATTCTCTGTCTTGGACCGGATTGGTTGAAGAGAGAAATTAACACACACCCTCAAAATTTCGCGAAGAAAGGTCTCTCGACTCATCGAAACACCGACAAAGACTTGGGACTCTTGCAGTAAGTCTGCACGTCTTGGAAGGATTACGAGTTCATTTTACTTTCATTAAGTTGACATTTTTCCCTCTGCTTCCTCAACTGCCTTACGAGAAGGGAGCTAACTCCTGCCCGCACGGGAGACGACGGGGAAAATCACTTTTGCATTGAATTATTTGCAATTATTTCGTGCAAATCAAGGCGGATCCTTGCCGCGTTTCTCGGTTGCATTTCACACGCAAAATTCAAGGGGGAAAAAAACGCCGAGTGTGAATCGACCACCGATCGGACGAGAGGCGACATCCACTTTCCCTTCTCGTCCCCATTGCCCTCCCGCAGATCCTGGAACTCCATTCAATCGGAGGCTTTCTTCTCGTGTTACCACACCGCCTATTCTCCTTTCGTCCTTCAGTCTGCTGTTTGTCGTGGCTGCGAAACGTTCCCGATCCTGGATTCCTCCTTCGGTGTCGCCGTAGGCAGGTATGTTACCTCTCTCGATTCTCTCCACGTATTCGAATAGGGGATCGAGGAAGTTCCCATGTCTACGAGGGGCTCGCTCTCTCCGCTGCTTTCCTAATCTCAAGTATCCTTTAATGATTATCCTGAACTCGTCGTCGTGTTCTCGTCTCGTGCTTCCGGCAGAAGACGGGAGAGCAAGGCCGAGTTAAAGCGTCTGGCCGATGAGCCGCGTCTCACCCACGCACCGCCGTTCAGGCGCCTCTCGCCATCATCGCCGGAACGCGAAAGGAGAAAAACCGAGAGCCTTCCTTCCTTCCTCTTCGTTTTCTTAATCTACCCGTGAAGCTTCGGCGCAGGGAATTCCTCCATCAACACGTGAGGCTTGGACGAGGCATAGCGAAAGGTTCAGCTCGACTTCCTACGCGTGGCGTCGGTCGCGGGACGCATTGTCTTCCCCCGCGCTAGTGGCCAGATGCAGTTAAAGGGATTCTCGCCTCTTGCTGGATGGGAGATACAACTACATGTTAGACATCCACGGCATTAATGCAGATTCGTATACCAATAACAAATTCCAAACATAAGAGGTAAAAAGAAGGTACCAGACGAGAGGACGGTCCGATGGCGAAGCGTCGGTAGGGAATCCAAGAAACGAATGTCGCCAAGCCTTTTTTTTTTGTTCAATGACCATTTATTTGTACAGCATGCCCTTTACAACATGCCCTTTAGTTGGAGTCCAGGGTTGGGTGGGTCCGCGGCCAGCCACCAGGTGGTGTTGTCAGGTCAGGGGTTGCTGAGAGAGGTAAAAAATATATAAAAGATGTATCAGTCGGCATGGTCATTGTGGGGGTGGTTTTTCTTGTTTTATAGTTTTTTTGTAATTCATTTTTTTTTTGGGGGGGGGGGGTTTTCATGACTTAAAAAATTTTTTTTGTTAATGTGTTATTTATATTTATTTTTATGTATTTAATAGTAATCGTAATAATTTTGAGGAGGTTCTATGGGTCAGAGCTCATGTTTCGTACAGCCAGAATACGGAAAGGTTTGTGCGGCATCATGCCATTCACACTTCCTTTCGCTCGCACTTTCAGTCAGTTGCTCACTCAGTCATGCATGCATTCGCTTATGAAAATATGGGGGAGTGTGGTGGAGTGGCCTGGCTTGGGTCGTGGGGGGTGCTTGTGGTCGTCCTGGGTGTGGGCGTTCCGGATTCTGTAGTTCAGGACAGCTCGGGAGAGACTTAGCCCTGAAAAGATATAAGTGCAACACATTTTAGGCTATGATGTAATGCAGGTTAAGACCCTGACCGTCCTCCGCTCGACGGTTTAGGTTGAATAAAGGGTAGGTCCTTACTCTTTTATGCTTTCTAAATTTAATATTCTTGTTGCTGGTTACCCCGATATTGAGGATATCTTCCGTGCGCTTAGGGTCTTCAAAGTATTTAAGTGCAAGTTTGGAGGCGTACTGCTGCAACGGCTCTATTTTATGACAGTTGGTAAATGAAGGTCTTATGAAGGTGCAGTATTGTTCCTGGATTGCATCTGTTGGTCCCACTTATTATCTTTTGACAGCCGAGTTTGCGTCTAGCTTTAGTTCTGAGATCTGCAATGTGTTTAGTCCAATGGAAGTTGTTTTGGAAGGTGAGACCAGGAAATTTAACGTTAGAGGAATGGGGGATGAGTTTGCCACAATGTGAAAGCTGGGGGGGATCAAGAGTCTTGCTAAAAGTAAATAAGAGTGCAGTGGACTTTGTGGGATTCATCAAGATTCTCCATTTTGAGCAATTTTGTAATGTTGCCCAGCCCTTTAGGCTACTCCGGATCCAGATTGCCGTGTCGTCTGCAAATTGGGAGATGTCAACCCCTTTGGGGAGAACAGAGAGGCAAATCATTAACACACGGGAGAAGGGGAGCAATTACCGAGCCTTGGGGAACTCCCGCCGAGACGGAGAAGGATTCAGAGGTCGAGTCCTCGACTTTAAGGGTGCGGTTACTGAGATAGGACTCAACAAGAGCTACTAGGCCCAGGGGAAGTTTATAGATACATCTGAGTTTGTAGAGTAGGACCCTGTGCCAGACTTTATCAAATGCCTTTTCAACATCAAAAAACAGTGCTAAGAGAGGGTAGTTGCTGTTGCCGGCATTCAGTATGTCATTTTTGCAGGCGGACGAGCTGATCCGAAGTGCATTACTTTCGTAATTGCGAGGTTAGCTTATCTGTCATTATTCTTTCAAATGTTTTACCCAGGGCACTTAGAAGGCTTATAGGCCGGTAAGAAGAAGGTTTACTTGAATCTTTTTCCGGCTTGGGTATCATTGTTACTAGAGCCGACTTCCAGGTTGAGGGAAAGTATCTGTAGGCGATGCAAGAGTTGAAAAGTTGAGCTAGCAGTTCATATAGTTGTATAGAGTTATATATAGTTATATAGAAGTACCTTTCTGGAGGGCTTTGTTGTAAGAAATATCTCGTCCTGGGGCTTTATTAGGCAGAGGCAGAATGGTTTTAATTATTTCCTCAATTGTTATTGGGCCAAGGAGCTCATCGTCTTCTACATTGGAGGGGGAAAATGAGTTAATTAAGGCATCTAGTCTTTTTTCCACCATGGATGCATTTGGAGGGAGAGAGGAGGTCACCAAGCCAATCCCAATGGCTTTTTATATTCGGGAAGCACCGCCTCAAGCTGGATGTCTCCGACCTTCCTCACCCCCTTCCCCTCTCCTCACCCCCTCTAGATGCATATCTGTCCTCCAACGGACTT